TATATATAGTGTTCTACAAAAAAGGCTAAATGTCTTTTTGAACATCATTAGGGTGAGTAAATTATGACAGAATTTTCTCTTTTCTGTTTACTTGTTACAAAGAAATAAATCCTCTTCAGTTAACAAAATGAGTAAAACGATTCACTGTTATGCATTTGTTTTTTAATCTATTTGTGGTAAACAGCAAATAGAGCTCAAAATGTTTTTCGGTCCCTCAGGAAACAGGAAATAGACTGTTGAGTGTTTTATGGTTACAAATGGAGGGTGTGTGTACTTGAACAGTAATGCCCTTCAGTCCTGTTTCCACTGAAATGCTCTTGATGTGACTTGATCTACAGTGATAAGACCTTTATGATTTTTGGAAGATGCTGAACATCTCATATCTGAGCTGTTAAACTGGTATGGTCTTTACAGTTAGTACAAATCAAAGAGTTCAAAGAGTTCTACATTCTAGGCTATACCTGTGTATTTATATTTTTATCAAAGCATTCAAGTTCAAACCCATGCCCTTGGTGTTGCTGGCACCTTGCTTTACTCTTTGAGCTACATAACTTGGCAGTAAACAAAGTAAGAGTGTAAGTGGTACTGTGTAAGGTAGGGTGGGAATATGGTAGGAACTCTGATGAACTCTTTGAGTCTCGTCCTTAGTAAATGTCAGGCCTCTTTTAAATACTCACTAAAGGGCATAGAGCATTTCTAGGTCATCCATATGGAGTCATAAATCTGCCTGTCCTAGACTGAGAAAGAAAATGAAAAGTGATGTCGTAAGAGACAGAGAGAAGGACGCAGTAGATAGGAAGCCTCGTAGGACTCCTGCCTGCCTCCCCCTCACAACATCAGCAGGGGTTCTAGAAGCTGATCGATAAAAACTGGTCGTACAGGCCCTAGTTTTTCTGCCCAACCCCCATAGTCTAATCTTTTGGCACAAAGGACCTCATCTCTCAAGATTCCCCAGTGGTGAGAGATATTGATTTTAGTCTCTGATGCTCTGATGCAAATGATTATTGCATTGTGAGCCAGCACCACACTCCAAATTAATACCAATAAACAGCATTTTCAGTGCTACTACAGAGAGAAGGCCTAATTAATTATATACTTATAGGAGAGCATCACTATTTCATTGCTCATTCTTAGGATTAAGGATTTAGATAAAAGCATCTGCCGTAAATTTGGGACCTTATGAAATCTGTTTTATTTCTTCCCAAATTCTCTTTTTTTTTCAATTGTAATTTTTCTGGATAAATGTTCTAGTAATCAAAAAGCGCATAAAATTGATTGAAATCATGAAATACAGTACATACAATTTAAGAACAATTTATTGAAAATTCAACAAAAATACATTTTTAGGGCCCTATGAAATCTGTTTTATTTTTCCCTAAATCCTATGTTTTCCGTTTTAATTTTTCCAGATTTAATAACATTATTTATAATTAAAAAAGCATGTCTAATCAATTTAATTAATAAAACTTTAATTCATTATTTTTATTGTTTTTTTTTTTTTTTTTACAATAATAGAGCTCTATGAATTTTTTTTTCTATTTTTAAAATTCTGTATTGTCTAGTTTTTCTGCATTTGTGATTTAAAACAAATTAATGGTAAAAAATGGTAATCAAAGGAATGCATGAAACATTTGAATAGTTTAATTCATGTTTTAGAACATAAGCAATTGAGAATGTAACAATTCCTTTTACTTTTGGCATTCAAAGTGCTGCACAGCAGAGTATTACTGTTCAAATTAAAACATGCAAGAAATTATTTGATTCTAAATGTATT